CTGGATCTTCTATTCTGTTCCACTGGTCTTCATATCTGTTTTTGTGCCAGTACCATGCTGTTTTCATTGCTATGGCTCTGTAGTATAGTTTGAAGTCTCGTATTGTGATACCTCCAGTGTTGCTCTTTTTGCTCAGTACTGCCTTGGCTATTCATAGCCTTTTGTGCTTCCCAGTGAATTATAGGGTTAATTTTTCAATCTCTGTGATGAAAGTCATTAGAATTTTGATGGGAATTGTGTAGAACATATGGATTGCTTTTGTTAATATAGCCATTTTCACTATGTTGATTTTACCAATCCATGAGCATGGGAGATCTTCCCATCTTCTGTAGTCTTCTTCAATTTCTTTCTTCAGTGGTTTGTAGTTTTCCTTATAGAGGTCATTCACATTCTTTGTTAAGTTTATTCCTAGGTATTTAAGGAGACTATTATAAATGGAATTGTTTTCCTATATTCTTTCTCAATCTGTTCATTATTTGTATGTAGAAAGGCTACTGATTTTTATAAGTTGATTTTGTATCCTGCTACTCTGCTGAAGCTGTTCATGGTATCTATGAGTTTTTTGGGTCTTTTAGGTATTAGATCACATCACCTGCAAAGAGGGATAGTTTTATTTCTTCCTTTCCTATTTGTATTCCTTTTATTTCTTCTTTCTGTCTTATTGCTCTGGTTAGGCATTTCAAGATTATGTTGAATAAGAGTGAAGCGAGTGGACACCTTTGTCTTGTTCCTGACTTTAGAGGAAATGGTTTCTAAATTGAAGAGGCTGACAAGGGATTGATAACCAGAATATACAGGGAGCTCAAAAAACTGAACTCCCACCAGGTCCCGGTGGCTCACACTTATAATCAGGAGGCAGAGATCAGAGGATCAAGGTTCAAAGCCAGTCTGGGCAAATAGTTCGTGAGACCCTATCTTGAAAAACTCTTCACAAAAATAGGGCTGGTAGGGTGACTCAAGGTGAAGGCCCTGAGTTCAAGCCCCAGTACCACACACACACACACACACACAAACCCAAAAAGACTAAACTCCTCCCCACAAAAATCAATGACACAATGAAGAAATGAGCTTTTTCAAAGAAAGAAGTCCAAATGACTACAGAGCACATGAAAAATAAGGAAATGCAATTCAAAAACCACATTAAAATTCCACCTCACTCCTGTTAGAATGGCTACCATCAAGAACACAAACAATAACAAAAGGATGTGTGGGAAAAAGAACCCTTATGCACTGCTGGTGGGAATATAAATTAGTACAACCACTATGGAAAACAGTATGGAGGCTCCTCAAAAAACTGAAAATAGAACTGCCAGATGATCCAGCAATTCCACTCCTAAGGATATACTCAAAGGAATGTAAGTCAGGTTACAATAAAGGCATCTGCACACCCATGCTTATTGCAGCATTATTCACAATAGCTAAGCTGTGGAAATAGCCAAGATGCTCCACTAATGATGAACATGGTATTTATACACAGTGGAATTTTATTCCGCTATAAAGAAGAATGATATTTTGTCATTTGTAGGTAAATGGGAGGAATTCCAGAACATCATCTTAAGTGAAGTTAGCCAGGTTCAGAAGGTCCAAGGCTGCATGCTTTCTTTTATATGTGGAATACAAATACAAGCAATGTTAGAAAAAACAGGTCATGCTAAGGGGAGGTCACATACAAGGCAGGGCTCCACACTGGAGAGTTGGTAAGGCCAAAATACCCCCAGGTCTTCTGCTCATTACTGCTAGAGGGAAGCTGACAAGAGCTAGAAGTAGGAAGAAGATCCCTTCTCCTACTTTCTACCTCAACCAGAGCCTCCCATTGGCAGAACCTACTCAGCAGCTACTAATAGATTCCAGGGAAAACAGTCTCAAGGGCCTAGAGTCCACCCCAAGTCTAGAGTCCAGCACAGAATGCAGGAGATGAGGACTGAAAAGAGCAGCAACCCTCAAGCCACTAGGAAACCTTTACAGTCTGCACACAATTTTCAGGGACTTTAGTTCCTTCCTGAGAGGGTTCAGGTGTTCCTATCTGAGCCTCCCACGCCAGTCCCTACCTGATGGAATAGATGCATAGAAATCACATTCTCATTCTTTTTATTCAGAGAGCTTCTTCTTCCAGATTTGAAAATTCCACCCATGATTGCAGTGCTGCCCTCCCCACAGCTTGTCTTTTTTACATATGCATGGGATTCTTTGAAGTTTAGCACTGATTTAAGCTTCCCACAAATTCTTATTGTTAAACAGTCAGACCGTGACTTTGGAATACAAGGGTAAGAAAGCAGGAAAATAAAAATGAGAAATAACCTAGAACTAAATGTACAAAGAACATTTCCAAAGCATATGGAGTAATAATTATGCAGGAAGAACCATCAAAAGAGATCAGTAATAAAGACACCATGAAAACCTGCTGATGTCTGTGATCTAAGTTCTGAGGCTATCTGTTAGCTACCTGCATTTTAAAACCCACATTTCAGCCATCCTGATTTGCTCACCCTCCCCAACCCACGCAAGTCCACAAAGTTCCCACAGCCATCCTTCTTATTTGACAACAACTATCTTTCCAGCCTAGCCTTTCCCCTGTGCAAAATGTACTTGCCTCTACCAGGGCACATGCAAGGTTAAAAAACATTTTCTGATGAGCAAGTTGGGACTCACTTCCTTTTCCTCTGAACACTTTATCTCTGTCACCTTCACACTTCCTCTGGACTGGGGGAAGCACAGTGAAGTGTTGACACCTATGGTATATCAGATTGCTTGAGTTGCAAATGGAAGAATCCCAACTAAAGCTGGATTAAGGGAAAAAAGAGAGACAGGGAGAGAGGAGAGGAGAAGAGAGTGAGAGAGACAGGGAGAGAGGAGAGGAGAAGAGAGAGAAACTATTGGTTTACCTAAACGGAAAGTCATGGGTGATTACATTCAGAAATAGGTGGGCCAAGGATCACAAACAATGTCTTTATTCTCTCTTCCTCTCCCTCTGCCTGCCAGTTCCTCCAGATCCATACTCCACATACTCTGCAATCCTCACTATTAACTTCAAAGTGTTCACGTGACAACACCCAATGAACCCTAGCACCTCCAAATTTATATTCTTCCAGCTTGGCATATGTGCAGAGAGCAATTCTTTCACAATTACGCCATCAAAATTCCCACACCTGGTTTTCATGCTCGGGTTGCATGTCCTTAAAATAATCACTGTGGCCAGGTAATGCAGTATTTGCTTTGCAAAATCTAGGTCATATCCCTAGACCCAGAGCCACAGGCATGGGGGGAAGATGGTCCATGAAAAATCAGACCTATATTAACAAGAAAGAGAAGACAAAATGGGAAGACAACAATAATAGACACCCATTCCTTGGCTCCTAGTCCATAGTTCAAACCTAAAAGGAGAAATATTGAAGGCACAAACTTGGGTTACATCAACTGACTGGTCACTCTTCCTTTGACTGAGAACACTACTACAAGAAAATTTTAAATATATGCACTGCCTTTCAAGTTTCTGAAAGCAACTATTCATCTTCGTATTTAGTGCCAGGAAAATCAATGATACACTAAATATTTTAAATAAGTACCTGTTTTGAAAACATTAAGACATGAGCACAATTTTAATTCCTAAATTCATAAGAAAGAAAGAAAGAAAGAAAGAAAGAAGAAAGAAAGAAAGAAGGTGGTAGGGAGGGAGGGAGGGAGGGAGGGAGGAAGGAAGGAAGAAAGGAAAGATCCTTTGAATAGTTTTGGACCTAATTTCAAGAGCTTTTTAAGAAACAAAATCCTCACCATTGACAACCAATTGCCTTTATAATGCTGATGACTATTTGTTCCTAATCCCAGTGTGCCTTGAGTTTCCTTTTCTAAACTTACATGTGGATCCCTTGCCACCTACTACCTCACAGTGTCCAGTAATTAAGTAGCTTTTCTTCTGATTGTCTAAGCAGTTTGGGTTCGGTCCCTGTCCTATTTGGCAGTGACTAACAGGCAGGAAGTATAATGGAGCCAGCCATCAAAGGTTTTACCATGGATAAACTTGTCAAGTTACATGTTCTAAAAGTCTTGCCTCAGGTAATGCCACCAGTTCCTTTGGTACTTGGCACTCTTGTATTATTTTCTCTAGAAAACTCTTTCCCCCGACCCAAGATTGTGTTGTAGGATGGACCTCCAGGATGCAGATGTTGGGATGGAGCAGCGGCATAAAGGAGGGATTTTTCTGGGTAGTCTCTGGGGAACCACACTTGCAAATGAGTGAGGAAACTGGATAGAGGGAGAACTTGAACTGCAGGGCAGGTGCAAAAGCCTTCTCAACTACCCTTGGGGCTATGGAGTGGAGCTAGAGCTCCCATCTGAATCAACCATAGAACACGGATTGCTCCTGGGGAGGTGCATGAACTGAGATGAGTAGAGAACAGAGGAGCACAGGTGTCAGCAGGCAACATTCTCTAGCAGCTGCAAGTTGTCCACCTCCATGCTCAAGGTGAAAGTTCTCAGGGTCCAATGCCCTTACATTTTTTTTTTTTCCTCAGTAATGAAGATTGGGCTCAGTAAAAACCTGGTACACACTAGGTACCTTATAAATGTTGAATTTAGTGTTGGAAAGGTATTAGATTTACTCTTCATGCCATCTTCTGAAAATGGAGTTAAAATAATCTTGTTCTCAGTTCCATTCTGGAGAAGTGTGTGATATAGGCTCTGGAGTAGAATCCTCTAAGGATGTCCTTAGAGGACACATTTTAAGCAAAGTGGAAAGCCTCAAAGTAGGCCTGATGAATTGATCACAGACAGGGATGGAGAAGCACAGGTGGGGAAAGACACTGCCCAGGGACCATGATTAGAAATGGCCAGGTGCTCTTTGAGCACTGTTTCTCTGCAGCTTTCCTATAGTCACAGATGTGACTCAAATGTGATTCAGCACAAGCTTTTGTTTAGCTGCTGCTTTCAACTGTCCCCAAAAGTCAAAACAGGTCCTTGACTTATGACCAGAGTCAGGTAAGAAAAGGAGTTGGAAGGCAGCAACATCAACAGGAAATAAAACATTTTTATTGAATATCATGTAATATATTAAGTCATTTTTAACAACAATCAGAAAACTACTGTGGTATTCACTACACAAAGTGAAACAAAATTTAAACCACCTCATCAAAAAATGAAGGTAAAATACAGCTAAAGGAGTTGGCTCGCGGGCCACGAGCCATATGGCAGAAGAAAACACCCCAACGTTCTACAAGATACAGAGAAAACCCACATATAGAAACACTCAAGCAGGCAGTAAATATACACAAAGGCAACTAGGATCTTTCTAGGGCATTGGATTCTAATACTTTACACAGCTTTGTCAGAAAGGTACATGTGGCTTCTCTGAGGATGAGTCTTGGTCTTAAAGCAGGTTCGGTCACCGACTTGTAAGAGATGACATAGTACTAACTCATTCTATCATGACAATCCCTTGTTGGCAGTGTTGCAAGAGAATGTGTTAGTAGTATTTTGATGCAGGAAATAATGTCTGTTCTGCAGCTGGAACCTGCTTATTTTAAAGTGTTGTTTCATTTGAACAACTTGAAGCTAAAGAGAGTGAAATTAAATGTCAGTTTCTGATATTTAAGGAATTTTTTTAAAAGTCAGCTTTCTCTCTTTGGTAGGGTTTGGTCCCTTAAATTGGGAAGAGTCTCATTTGAATTTTCTTACATAAGGAGTTTTGCATTTCCTATTATCTATGTTTTTTAAGAAATGTGGGCCATCTCAGAAGAAGGTGATATTCTCCTTTTGTCCTCTGTGTCTGTTTCATTTTTAAAGAGTTTGTTATGATGGAGCTGAAAGGTGAAAGGGCTTCTCTTTGATAAGGAGAGAATAATGACAGGGATTCTGGTTTTATGGGAAAACAGCGAACCCCATGTTTAAGTCTACTGTCATCCCTTTTTGCTTTCTCTTGGGTTTTTCAAAAACATGGAGTGATGTCCTAAGACAGATCATGAGGCCAGTGCTTAGTTTTCCTTCATCATTTTGGACTGTGTGAAGATAAACTCTCATTCAGAACATCACTAGTCTCTGTGGCCTAGAAGTTAAAATGGGTCACAGAAGTGAATGGGAGAAAACACTAGAAGCAATGTGAGATGACAGGCTGTCCTTCCAGGAAGTGTTGTTTACCATAGTGGGGACAAATATGGAACAGTGCACAGTGCTTGACAAAATGCTGTGTGTTTCACCCCATTCTATGTATCTTTCTTGTGCTATGCATAGCTTTTCAGTTCTGAATTGGTCCTTTGTAAATGAGAATTGTTTGTGCTACACACACGTTGGGCAGTGCAGTAAAAGGGAATGGCAGTATTGTTACAATATCACTACGGAGTAAGTTGAGTGCTATCCACTGAGGAAACTACGTGTCTAAGCACACACGGCAGTCACAGTGTTACACAGAGCAGTCCTTTAAGACTCTTACGGAATGACTAGTAGCTTCAGAATAGTGCCATTTACTACATAATAACATTGAAAACATTTAAAAACTCCTCCTAAATCAAGCATCTAGTGTACATAAGAGGTTGCTTCAGTTTTCTAGAACTTGTTCTTGGTTTTGTTTCACCTTTGTTTAAAGGACAAATTAAAACTTAGTTAAGTAAAAAGAGCATATAAAAAGATCCCTAGCTGTCTGTTTTGGCTTAATTGAAGTGCATTCAGAGCTATGGCTAATTGTTCTCTTTTTTTTTTTTTTTCATCTTTTGATGGGATTACAATACTGTCTGTTAACCACAAAGTAATTTTGTGTAATAAGCACAGATCGCTGTGTTAAAAATATTCTGCATTCCTTCTAATCTGGTTTTGTATAATAAAATATTTTGTTACAAAGTCTAATGTGCAAACCTTTTGGAATCATTATAGATGTGAAATCTGGACCAGAATTCACAGGATGCACATTTTGTATAAATGTGATAACGGAGAGCTATTGTTTTCTTTTTTAAATAGTCAGGCAATATTCCCAAACTGCTAACTTCTCCTCTCAGTTTCTCCTCCCCCACCCTATCCCCAAACAAATGCACACACATACACACACACACACACTCACACTCATGTACGCACACAGAACACCTAGAATTGTTATTCCATATACAGTAGCATGAATTCAGTGACTCCTGTTCAGCTGCTTCCTCAAGTGTAAGAGTGGAGCTGGGATTTTAGCTTTGTAGATGTGTACAGACAGGTGCTTTTCTGGTTTGTGGGTATACTTCCTTGATGACAGCCTGGATGCTGCCCAGATCGTGTTATTTTGCCTGTGAAGTAATTCTACAAAATTGGATTCACCCACCAAATGTGTGGTATAAGCATATCTTGGTACTCAAATGATTCAGTAGAAAGCTCAGGCTTAAGTTGTCCTTTAAGATGTCAGTTTAACTGTACTAGTGCCTTACAAGTTGATATTTTTGCTGGAATGCAGACGATACTATATTTACCATATAATATATTATCAGCTCTCCTATATCTCAGTCAATTTACATAGTTTAAAATAGAACATCTTATTAAAAACATCTAGATATACACAGATTAGGAAACGCTTACAACATACAAATACACAAACTAGAAATAAATCTTTAGCATACTGGTATATACAACAGTGTGATACAATAAATAATTTCAGTCATGCTCTATCTACACATCATATTGCTTAAAAGAAGAGTTGATTTGGAGGGCAGTGGCATGATGAAGGGCGCAGGGGCTCTCTACACTTAAATTTGTGCAAAATAAAACAAGATTTGAAGTACCACTGAATTGTTTAGGAATGCATGGTTGGAGAATGAAAGGACCCATATTACTGAGGTATTTACAGATACTGGCTAAAGAGCACTATTGGGCAAATGCAGAAAGGCTTCTTCTTCCCTCTACTTCTTGACGGCCAGCATGGCATCAACTTCCTCCTCTACCTGTAGGGTGTGCCACTGGGCAATGGGTCGCCTGGGGTTAGCCAGCATGTCTGACCAGTGTCGCAGCTCCGCACCGGTGCTGTTGTAGCCCACAAAGACTTTGCCGATGGCATCATTCTTGCCAATCTTGTCATAGTCCAAAACAGTTACCACTACTTGCACTTTCTGAAAGAGGACACAAAATGAATGTGAATCATCTAGTTTGACAGATAAAGCCTTATTAAAAGCTTCCTTGGCATTTAAGGAATTGGAAGAAGAATTAGTCCCCAACCACCAGGATGCGGCTGAAAATGACTTGAGTGTGAAAACTTGAGTCCCGTCTTTATTTTTCCACATCACCACTGCCACCACCACCATCATCATCACCATCATTATTGTCATCATCATCTCAACACTTAAATGTTAATTTTTATTATCTATTTTACATTCTTCTAAGTCTTTATATATGAACTCAGTTGTTTCTCACAATAGATCCTATCAGCATTGCCATGTTATCGATAAGGATTCCTGAAGCTCAGAGAAGTTATACAACCTGAGATTGCATAAAGAATAAGTGAGTTAGTTTCCAGAGTCTGTGTCATAAACCACCATGCCATGCTGCTGGTGGCAAATTGTGTTAATTTCTAAATACATTGTTTCATCTTGTCTTATCATCAGTGAGACATCCACCATTGATACTCAGGTCATTCTTTTTTTGTTGTTGTTGTTAAAACTCCCCAAATAATCATGTACAATAATTTCAAGCAGGACTGGCCAGCATTTTACATAAAACTAATATAGAATTTCACCTAATCATATGATGACTGTGAGCATAAAATGTGACAATATAGTGAAATTCTTTAAAAAGTACCTCTATTTAGTTTTTAGATGTGTTTTCTCAATCTTAGATTCTCTCAGTGAGCATTTATTAAGTCACTACTGTGTATCTGCCATTGTCATCAAATGAATAAAATCTTTTAGGCCACACAAGATTTACCTCAGTGACTTCATCAGATTGTAAAGAACATTTAATAGTTGACTTTTCTGGACTGATTGAAAACAAACCCATATTATTATGGTATAGAAAAAACCCACAATTTTTGAAAGCACATTTCAGATCTGCTTCCTAAGTAATGAATTTACTTAGTCAGAATATGAGACGGTCCAATCTAGAAACAGTGTAAAGATAAAAGAAGAGTTTAAAGTAAAGTAACATTTAACAGTTTGAGGCCAGACTGAATTTTTGTACCAATGTCCTGAGAGATGTCACTGATGTGCAGCTTCTGAACAGAGAAAACAATCACTTCTGAATGTGGAATTTAGAGTGTAAATTGCAGCATGCTGGCAATAAAGGAGACAGTCTTCATTGTGCAGCCTTGGAGTGCTGCCAGTGTTAAGAAAAATACCTAGCCACTGGATATTGTATGGAACCCAAGACAAGATGGAATTTGATGCCTTGATTCTCAGAAATTGTCCCAAGCAAGTTCATTAGGATGTAATCATATGGCAGGGAATGGGGGAGGAACATTATGCACAGAGGTAATTGGGGTTTTCTGAATTTGAAGTAAGGTTTGATTGTCCTACTTAAGAACAAATTGATTAGTGGTACTCAAGACAAATTATTCTTGGATTAATTTTCTAGTTGTGTATGTAGTTTATTTCTGTATTTGGGGGAGTGGCGGTGGTGGAGGTACCATTTTCACAAGACTCAGCAAGTCAGTGTATTTTCCTTCTTTCGTAATATATTTCAGAGGGATAGAGAAAGAAGACAGACAGTATATCTGTATAACCTCAGGATAAAGGAAACCCAAATCCCTCTTTTAGCACACAAAATATTCAATTATTTTCTCTAGGGAAGTGCAAAAGATAGGAGAGCAGGATTCTGGGGGAAAAAAAGAAAAAACAAAACAAATTGGCATGAGGAGCAGAGAAGGAGGGGTGCAGTCAGATGGGTGCTCACTGTTCTGAGCCTAATGTGCACTGCGTCTGACTCAGGTTCTCTTCTCCTCTAAAGTGCTGCTCAGATATCCAGATTTTGTTCACTTTTAATGTGCTTCACTTTCAATGTATTTGTATTTTCTGAAGTAGTTGGCATTTATTTTTTATGCGTATAGAATTATAGCTCAAAGCAAGAAGTTTACAATAGGATTTTTCATTTCAGTGCACTGTTTTGTGGAATTAAAAAGTAAAATGTCAGGAGGTGTTAGCTTCTGTAGGAATAAGGTACTAAAACTCAAAAAGTTCGCTGAACAAGTATTGTGAAATAAATTGCTGGAGAACACTGATGTCTCGGGGGTTTGCCAAGGTGTCCAAAGCAAAGTGTTCACAGGTTCAGGTGACAGAACAAGTGACTAAGGGCAGAGAACGAGTGACCTTCGTGATGTCATTTATTTATATAGGTACTGTTGAAAGTAAATATGCATGACTTGCTGTGATGTGAGAAGGTATGTGAGAAGCTTATATGAAAACCACAAAGGTGAGGATGGTGGGGGCTACTGGTTATTTTAGGTCATTTAAAATTGCCCTATATAATAAAGCTGCAACTAAGCACAGGTAGCCGTCTAAATTTAATTCTAAATAAGTTAAAACTCAATAATGCTTCTTAGTTACTCTAGTGACTGAGGTGTTCTTTAGCCACTGGTGGCTACTCTATTGGACAAGCGTGGATGATAAAACATTTCCATAACCACAGATAAGTCTATTGGACAACACTGATTTATACATTTAATCCCAGTGTTAGATTCATTTCATAATAAAATGTTAATTTGAAAAGGAGATGACATTAACATTGTGAATAACAATGATAGGAAGCATTTGCTGAGTGTTGCTATATGCTAGACTGCTCCAAGTGCTTTTATATTCATAACCTATGTCCACCTAAATTCTGTATTATTCCTGTTTTTACACTGTGAGAGAATTCTAAGCCTTAACTTGCTTATGTATAAAATTTGGATAATAATGGCACATCTCTCAAAGTTGTTATGAGGATTAAATAAGATTATGTGTGTAAAGAACATTACTTGGAACTTGGCACATTATATAGAATAAACCAAGCTATTCTGTTAGTTTTCTTCATGGAATAAAAGCATGATTCATTCTAAGATAATATATCCTAGGAATAGATTACAAGTAAATGAAAAATATTATTATAGACCTTTAGAAGTTTCCATGTCCCAGTTTTTATGTCTATTCTTCGTTTCTTTTTTAAGTTATAAGCAAACTTTTGTATCACTAGATAGATTGACTTCAATTACTTAATAAAATGTAAAAATAGTGCTTCTTTATGCAATTTGACTCCCTGACACCCATTAAAGACTAGCAAGACATAGTCCATAATTATTGAATGTGAACTTTGAATTCTGATAGTCTAAGTATAGAGATGGGGTGAGATAATTCAGATATTTTAAAAATCCCTAAATAAGATCACATTTTATCATTATGACTATGTAGCACATCTTATTTTGAATATATCTGCTACAGACCTTTTGGTAGGATACTTCCTACTATTATTATTGTTTAAGAAATTAAGGTTCCTTTGTTACAAAAATACCCCTCCATTCCAAGTCAGACATAGGAAGCTGAATTTAAACAATTGGGAATACAACTTAACCTAATTTTTCTATCATTAATTCAAGATGCTGCATGTTTAGTGTCAATCCCAAATTTTTCTCTTTTCTCTACTTTTGTGTTAAACATATAAGAAGAATTACTTATTATGGCCTGGAGGTAAACAGGGAAAGTCCATTTTTTTCTTGGCTTAACTTCATAGATGAACTTTTTGATTTAACAAAGTTTTCCTTTGAGTTTCTATTTTCTACCTTATTCCTGCTCAACAGAAGACCAGCTGTTTTTTGCTGAAGCCAGCACATTCCGTGCTGTATATTGTATTATATCTCTGTTGATGTAGCTCAAGCACCCAACATGCTGGAACAGGATAGCAGTTCTGATGAAGATATTGACACTGATAACTTCCAAAGGATATGAGTGTAATTTATATAGTCTAAAGGAACGAAATTGCACGGGAGGAGAAATTTATGTCTGACATTACCTGGATTTGCTCAAAAGGAACTTCAAAGCTGAACGACTCATTGTAGTAGGGGTTAAGTGTATTCTTTTTAATTGTCGTCTTCTTCTTCTTCAGTCTCTTGCCATTCTGCATCAGATGAATCTTCACATATGGATCTGAAAAACAGAAACAAAATCTTTAGGAGATCAAAGACACATATTTTAGGTCAGTGCTTTAGCTTATAAAAGGACCAAGTATGGCTGGACCTGGTGGTGCATGCTTGAGGAGGTAGAGACAAGAGGACCATGGGTTCCAGGCCAGTCTGGGCTACATAATGAGACCCTCTCTCAATAAAACAACACAATAAAAGAACAAGTATTTCCATCAGACAAATAATTATAAACCATGTATTCAATATATACATTTTTTTACTTTCAAGCACTTTTTTTTTTTGTGGTACTGGGGTTTGAACTCAGGACCTACACCTTGAGCCACTCTACCAGTCGTTCTTTTTTTTTGTGAAGGGTTTTTTGAGATAGGGTCTTGAGAACTATTTGCCTGGGCTGGCTTTGAACCGCAGTTCTCCTGATCTCTGTCTCCTGAGTAGCCAAGATTACAGGCGTGAACCACCAGTGCACGTTTATTGAAAGATTTTAAATAACTTGTGGGGCATGTTTTTTTGCCATGCTGTCGGAATGTTTCCAGTTTGATTTTGGAGATGAAAGCAGTGATGTGTTGGTAAACCAGCTCTTTGGAAAAAAAGAAAATGTCTTGACATGTAGTATTTGCAGATTTCTGTGGTGTACGTCTGCTTGCCATGGCTGATTTCAACCCACAAGCAGTTTAACAACTGGCTTGTAAAGTCCCTGAAAATTTAACAATTGGTTTTTGTGAGCTGGCAGAGGGTTTGTCCACAATACACCAATGCACAGGAATAAAACTCCACAGAGAGACCATGCAGGAGCTATTTCGTTCATTCATTTATTCACTGACTCAACCAGTATCAATCAGGTACCTACGGTGTGGGGGGCACTGTCAGGCCTGAGGAGTGCCACAATGAACAACGGACCTTCAGATTTGTGAGGAAACAGACAATAAACTTGCAAAGAAAAGATGTACACATGAAATTAGAAGTTGACAAAACTGCTGTGGAAGAGAAGAACAGTGTAGAGATTTGACGGAGAACAGCAGGGATGGTATAGTGAGCAGTAAGGTAGGGATGAAATAGTTAAATGGCTCAGGTAATTCCTCTCTATGGAGGGAACATATGAGCTGAGATGTGAAGGCTAAAGCAAGAGAAGGAGGTGACTGTGTGTGGGATAGGTGTGTGTGTGTGTGTGTGTGTGAGAGAGAGAGAGAGAGAGAGAGGGAGACAGAGAAAGAGCGAGCGAGTGAGAGAGAGGGAGAGAGAGAGACAGAGACAGAGAGAGAGAGAAAGAGAGACAGACAGACCCAAACACTCCTAGGAAGCAAAGAGCTCAATGAATTTCTTTCAAGTTTTCAAGGAAAAAAGAGACCAGAACAAAACAGAGGTATTGAGAAAGAGGGCAGAAAGAGTGTTTGAGCGTTTTCCCTAAAGCCTCATTAGGCAAAAGTAAAGTAACAAGCAAATCAGTGCACGGGGAGGCAGCTCCCATTACTAATGGATGGATGACATACCTTCAGGTCACTAGGAACCAATACCCAGGACTGAAAGGAAAATCTCTCCACTGCTTTTCTTAAGCATTTTTCCATTTTGTATGTAATGCATGTTCATTGTACAAAAAATACCAGAAGGCAATGATAAGCAAAAAGAAAAAAATTAAAGTCATCCAAAATAACTACTGTTAAACCTTCCAAATTTTCTCTCCTCTTCTCATGACAAGTTGGGAGAAATATTACAATCTAGTGCCCATGTGTTTTTAGAAAACTGCAGATTTAAAACAAGGTTGTTTTTACAATCCCTAGGTAGAGCCTAACTCCTTTAAGGAAGAAACTTTGTCTGCCATATTCACTATCTGAATTTGCTAAAGTAGTAGCTGGTGCATATTAAATATTTTAAGGGGCTAGTGGAAGAAAAATAGAGAAGATGAACCAATTCGGGTTATAATACATATATACATGGAAATGTCACAAGGATACTGCCTGTGTCTTAAACAAACAAAAATATCATTATTTTTTCTTTCACAAAATCAGAGAACAGCAGGGCAGAACAGGTCTGGGGTGTTGGTACCAGTGGGAGGAGGTAAAAGGAGGGGGAACAGGCAGGGGAGAGTGAACATAGTGCAAACACTGTGTACACATGTATGTAAATGAAAAAATGATACCTGTTGAAACTATTCTAGGAATGGGGGAGACAGGATAAAGGAGAATGGTGGAGGGGTGAATTCAGCTGTGATGTATTTGATATATTGTAAGAACTTTTGTAAATGCCACAATGTACCCCCACCCAGCCCAACAATGAAAAAAGTGAAAAAATGAATATTTTAAGATACTGGGATTGAACACGGAATCTCATGCATGCTAAGCATGCACTGTACTGCACTACAAGCTACATCCCCAACTCCATATTCAACTTTTATTGAATGACTAAGTGCGCTTTTTAGGGCCTCATAATCTAGGTCTCCTAACTTTCAGTCCTGTCTTCTTCCCATTGCCCCAAACCCAGTTTATTTAGATAGGTATAGCTTTTTTTTTATTTCAATGCAAATTCCAATCAAGGTTATCGTCTTTTTAGCCAGTCACCTGAAGTCTTAGACTGCTTGCCCATTTTTTCCAGACTTCTCATTTTTATCTGTTCTTTGACTGGCTTCATTTCTAAGTGTCCTCTGGTTCATTCATTGCACTAAAGTCATCTTGAATTCTGGTAGCTTTGCAGAAGTTCCTAACCCCTTGCTCAGCTCATTATTAACTTTTTTTGAGGTTTACACTGCACTCCTGTCTTCCTAACTACTGGTGAGTCCTCTAAATGGAAATCTACCCATCTAACTATGAATTACATCTATGCTTTGAGAACACACAGATTTTTTTTTTTAGGACAACGATCATTTTTCCTGTAAAGTAGGCCTTTGTATACTTAATTTTTTTTTCTGTTTTAGGGGCTGTTTGATAAAACAAGCTCCTTCATAGCTTGTTGGTGGCTTAGAAGTCCTGATGATTGTATAAGACATAATTTTGTAAAAATGATGATAAAAGTAGTCTGTCATGTGACTCACCAAAGTTGTTTTTCCTGAGAACAGTTGCTGGACACCATACATGGCATCTAAATATCCCTTAGGTTTTTGGAAACATGTAAACATCACAGGGAAATATGCAACTTACAAAAATTTCCCTACTATCCTCAGGCACTCTTTGTCTCTGTGGCTTGTGGATTCTTCTTTTGTTTCCAAAAGCAAGCACTCATGGAAATCTTCCTCCCTCAAATACTGACAGCTCTTTTTTTTTTTTTTTGCATTACTGGGGCTTGAACTCAGGGCCTTTATCTTGAACCACTCCACCAGCTCTTTTTGTGATGGGTATTTTTGAGATAGAGTCTCACGAACTATTTGCCTGGGCAAATGATCCTCCTAATCTCTGCCTCCTGAGTAGCTAGGATTACAGATGTGAGCCACCTGCACCAGGCAATGACAGCTCTTCTTAAGCAACATTTGGATAATCCCCATTGCCATCAAAATAGGTACAAGGCTTGGGATTCTTCACTTCTTTTATTTATCCTTAAAAAATAGCAGCCTAATTTTTGAACTTTGATAGGAAGAAAGATCTTTTTTCTGATGTCTAGTTTCTAAGGATGATTGTAACTTTATGTAAAAATGGTAAAGTGGATCAGCAGGAAGTTTCTTCATTCCCAATAAAACAAATGGCCTTGTCTTGGATCATTTGGTTTTATTAACTGTGTGTCACTGCTACCTTTCATCCACTGTTGTCAGGCTTTCCTTTGAAATCAGATTAGCTGGACTTCATCTCCTTTCTGTCATAATAGATGTTCTGAAATGGAGGTCTTTTAGCACACTATAATGAGATCACCCTCAAATTTATATGTTGACAAACCTTTTTAATATGCCAGACTGGGTTTTTGTTCTCAGCTTTCACAATTATGGTAGGTAGAATAAGAGTTTTTCCAAAGAGGTCACATTTTAATTCTTAAAACCTATGAATAAGTTATATGGCAAAGAAGTATTTACAAATATAAGAAGGGTAAGGAGGTTGAGATGAGAGCATCCTAGAGTATCAAGGAGGGCCTCTTCTACTCACATTAGTGCTTAAAACAGAGAACCTTTCCTGTCTATAGTCAGAAAGAGATGTGATAATAGAAGAAGGGCCAAGGACTTGTACTTTCCTAGCTTTGAAGAGAGAGGAAGAGGCCACAAGCCAAGTATGGGTGGCCCATAGAAAGAAAAACAAAGAAATGATTATTTCCTGGAGCCTCCAGAAAGGACTGCAGCCCTGCTAACACCTTGATTTTAGCTCAGTGAGACTTGTGTCAGATTTCTTTTAAAAAAATCATTTAAAAATTAATTTTTAAATTGACAAATAGAAATTGCATATATTATTATATTTAGTATGGTGTTTTGAAATGTTATAGAGTGGGAGAAAATATTTGCCAGCTATACACCAGACAAAGAACTGATAACCAGAATATACAGGGAACTCAAAAAACTAAACTCTCCCAAAATCAATGAACAATAAAGAAATGGGCAATTGAACTAAACAGAACTTTCTCAAAAGAAGAAATTCAAATGGCCAAAAAACACATGAAAAAAATGCTATCTCTAGCCATAAAAGAAATGCAAATCAAAACCACACTAAGATTCTACCTCACCCCTGTTAGAATAGCCATCATCAAAAACACCACTAACAACAGGTGTTGGCGAGGATGTGGGGAAAAAGGAACCCTCGTACACTGCTGGTGGTAATGCAAACTAGTGCAACTACTCTGGAAAAAAATTTGGAGGCTTCTTAAACATCTAAACATAGAACTGCCATATGATCCAGCAATCCCACTCCTGGGGATATATCCAAAGGAATGTGACACAGGTTACTCCAGAGGCACCTACACACCCATGTTTATTGCAGTGCTATTCATAATAGCCAAGTTATGGAAATAGCCAAGATGTCCCACTACTGACTAATGGATTAAGAAAACGTGTATTTATTTATACACAATAGAATTTTACTCAGTCATGAAGAAGAATAAAAT